ATAGCATGTTTCCCCAAAATAAAACTTAACAGTCTTGAAAACTAGAGACCAATGATTCCCCAGGTGTTGCCTTACAGTCATTCCAGAGCAGCCACTGGACAAGAGAATCTGAGGTATACTCTACATGACACTGGCTATCGCTTGATAATGACCAGCCGGGATTTATTTTCAGATGAGGTCTTATTTTGGGGGACACATGGTATCTCCGGAAGCCTCTGCTGATTGATGAAGCAGCTGTCCTCTGTTTGCCTTGGAATCCTACCTCCTTATTTCTATGTCTCTTTCAGCACTGGTCTGTCTTAATCCTGCCTTACAGTTATTTGTGAATGTGCTTATGTTTAACCTCTTCTCTACTGCTGAGGGGGAATCTCCCTCTTAACTGTTTTGGTATCAACTAGCTAGTTGATTATCTAGAAAAGTGTGAAATATTTTCACAATTGACTTCCCAGAAGTGCAGATGAAAACTGAAAATCAACAAAAAGATTTCAAAAGTAATAGATGACCGTATCTACGCAGAATCACTTGACAAATTGTGCAATAAATGCAAAACCTAAGATGGATGGGTCTGGTGGGCACACAGCCTGGTCTTTTGCAGTTCTGGGGAAGTAACAGAAAGGGTGATGCCTGTTGGTATCCTCTGTACCAGTGACAGACACAGATACTTGTGAGGGTCAGAGAGGACTTGAAAGTGGCTGAGAAACTGGGATGGTTAAACGAGGTGGAGGAGGGAAAGGGTGAGTGTTTAATCAGCGTATCAGTCAGCTACATTGAACCGTCACTTAGAGCTGTGAAGTGCTCGCACAGAACTACGCATTAGAGCACGGGTGTTTTTCCTGTCTTCAAGCAGTGACCACGTGCCCTGCTTCTCACGTTTCCCTCTCCTTTCAGCTTTTATAGCACTAAGACCTGGGAACCCCCACGTCTCCTGTGGCCCCCATGTTCTCATCTTTATGACGAGAGGACATGCTTGGGGCCCATGTCCCTGTGTGCTCCAGCCCTGGCTGGTCAGTTCTGTGGCCCATCAGGATTGTGTGAGGTCCCTTCAGCACTCTGTGGACTGGTGACAAAACTCACCACATCAGAAACAGTCCACACTCGGGGGAGAAGCAGAGGAGAAAACTCCAGCAGACAAGCGAAGCACTGAAGAACCGAAGCACCAACTGAACAGCCCTGCAAGAGCCAAGACCTCCTCCTTCCTCCAAAACTACATGGGAAGGATGGCGCAGGCAGCAGAGAGACTTTGGGTCCTTTGTGCTTTTCCATATTAACACAGTCACACTTTGCTATGCAGATGCCATTTCCAATAAACACCAGGGCTTCCCAGGGCCTGGACTCTAATTGAAGGGATTGTTACTGTTGGTGAATGGCTGGGGAATTAATTAATGCAAAGCCAACCAGTTCATAAATGCTTGCTTTGTGAGCAGTCCCAGCATCCCAGGGACCAAGACTACTGTGGTCAGTGCAGCCCCAGGACTCCATGTCAGCAAATGATATTTATTATCACCCAGTCACTCTCCTAACCACCGGGTGATGGAGGCCTTAGCTGGGCCCTGGTTCACCTGCAATGAACACAGCCCTGCTTGGGTTTCTCGGGGGCTGAACAGACACTGTGGAAAAACACCCTCCAGTCTTTTGATCTTTCACCCACAGGCTGACTTACGTGAGAAGAGAGGCTTTATTTGTAAGCCATAAAGATGGAAAGAGCATGCAAGCAGAAAAAGAGCTTTGCTCAAGCCACCACCATGTTCCCAACTTGGCTGATCTACGTGCAGATACAAGCCCACACGTGTGCACATCTGCACACATGCACAACAAGCACACACGCAAAGTCTCCCAACTAATTCAAATCTCAGATCTGATCTGAATGTGCCAAAGGGACTCTTCAATAACCTACATCCTAAGAATATAGGATGAAAACAGGCAGGGGTGACTGAACCACTCCTTAATCCATGCACACACGCATGCAAGATGGTTTTATTCACCCCTCAAGCCAGTCTCAAGCTCTGCCATCATACCGTTGTGAGCCCATTCTTGTTTGTGCATCAGTGGCTTTGTAGCCACCCAGTTTACTGCGGTAGATGCTGTCCTGAAACCTCCCTGTATGCTTAGGAAAATGTACTGGGGTACTAAAGACAGTAGCACTGAAGTTTCTCTCCCATACAGTTCGTGATGATAAGTACGTGCTCTGGAGGGAAGGTGCGTTTTATATTTACACAGAGGCACGTGCACACACATGCAGGATGTAGAAAGAACTTACTTTAGTTTCATCAGAACCCCCAAGGCCCTGGGGTTTGTTTTGGTAGTTTTATCTGATTTTTGTAGAAGTAGTGTTCTGTATTAAAAATTAGCCTGTGTCATAAATCATGAAGTCTGCAACGGTCTCCAAAAGTGGACCTTACATCTCTGGTCTCTTTTTGACCCTAGAGGAAAAGGAAAAAGTAAAAGAGAATTTTATCCTTGGAAACTCCATTCTTTCCTTGGCCTGTCCTTATCTATCTGTCTTCCCATGCCTTCCTACCTTTTTATTCCATCATTTTCCCTATTTTGCTTTGTTTTAGGGTTCAGCATTAGTCCTGTACACTCTAGGAATTAAATTAATCAGCATTTATATAACTACAATGTTATTCATTCACATTTGCATTTTAATTCAAAACCCAGTTGTATGCTGGCAGCGATCCTCTGACACCCTCAGGTGGACAGGCAACAGGTAGGTGGCACTGTACCTACGTCACCCTCCCCCAGGCTCTGTTCCGACAGGATCTAGACCCCCTAGTCTTTGATGGTCCTGCACATCTGCTGGCACTCCCCTGCCTCTGTCATCTAATGCCAGATGAGATATTGGTCATAGCTGGCCACTGTGTGTCACATAAAGAACCTCAGAACCTGTCACTTATAGGTCTGTTCATTTATTCAGTTAAAATGTAAAAAGCAGCTCAGGTACAGGGACTGGGTCAGGCTCTCACTGTACAGCAAAGCCAGACACAGCTCCTGCTCTCGACAAGCTGATGTCACAAACAGAAAAAGAGACAAATGACAGAGCCAGGTCACCTGATGCCCAGATGGGCAAACACGTCCTTACCCTTGAAGACTCTGCTGAACGTGGGAACGTGGGTTTGTTCCTCCACCATGACACTTCCCATATTGTTAAAATTACTTCTAGCACAGCTGCTGCTTCCCTTAGATTGCATATGACAAGGCGAGGTGGAGGCAAGGAGGGCAGAAATTTTTATGTAACATCTCCAGACATTCACAGTAGTGGGGACTTCAGAGAGGTATCAATGTGTGACCCCAGGGCTTGTGATTAAAGGTTTTGTCCTCAAGATGGCACTTGGCGCTTAGTGGGAGGTCTTCCTGGTCCCTTGGAGAGTTCCCTGGAAAAGGGCTGGGACCCTGGCCCCTTCCTCTTCTCTCTGGCTTCCCAGCCATGAAGGGAACAATGCCACTCCACCTCGTGTTTCCACCAGGATGTGCTGCCTCGACACAGGCCCATGGTGATGAGGCCCACAGAGACACAGGGGAAAAAAAGAATCAAGACCTATCATGTATAGGAAAAAGTCTCCATGATGAATGTGATAGTTATATATATCTAAAATGTACCAATAAAATTAAGTTTTAGAAAAACTTCTAAAACTATGAGCCCAAAGGAATTTTCCCTCCTTGTAAACTGATTCTCTCAGGAAGTTTGTTACAGTGATGGAAAGCCGACGAACACAGAATGAGTAAATGAATGGATGAATGAATTTGCAAGCTCTCTCATTCTTACATAGACTTCCTTGACACCAGCCTACCAACTTAGAGGAGAAGTATATTTCTTCTTGGCTCTATAGTATGCAAATTGTGGTTATTTCCAGCTCATTATGCAAAAGTGCAGAATCTGGGCGAGTACAAACTTCATCTCATTCAGTCAACGGCACTATTTTGTTGGCTATTTTTATTTTTTCAGAGCATGTGTGCATGTTGTACAGCAGTCCTACACATAAATTGGAGCATCCCCAGTAACAAATGTGTCCCCATGGGGCCTCAGAGATGATGGAATGCTGCAAGGGGTTCGCCAGGTAGATGGGGAAAAAAATCCTGCAAAACCAATCACATTAACCCTGAGTGCTTATTGAGGGGACACTGACCAATGATCCAACATTAAGGATCTTGACAGTGTCTGTTAAATGGAAAACAAATATGACTGCTGAGAATTTTACAAAGAAATGGCATAGGCACCATGAAAGCCACACAGGCCTAGAGAGGAGCCAGCTCTTACCAAGCGTGTCATGGGTCAGGCCAAGTGGATTGGGGTCTTGCTGCTACCCAGTCTGGCCTCCCACCATCATTTTGAGCTGTCCCTTTCTTCCTTATTGTTAGTACCTTTTAAGAAAAGATTGGAAGTCTCCAAAAACAAAAGAAAAAATGGTCCGGAGGGTCATAATGGATGCCTATCTTTACAAGAGGATAAAGACCCATTACACCAGGAGTGAGTCTGGGGACTGTGTCATCTTCAGCTCTTCCAGCAAAATAAGGAAACAAGATGTAGATTGGGAGGGCCAAGGAAAAAAGGTGGAAAACATGGAGAACAGAACACCGTGACCCCTACAAAAGCTCGAGCCGCCCTTTGTCCTTGGTTTCTGTGCCACTGTCACAGATGAAGAAATTCATCCCCAGTGAGTCACCAGAACTGACAACCAGGGCTGGCAAAGCCTGGCATGGCTGATTCAAGGCACGAAACAAGGGAGCGTGGATGTGGGCCTCACCGACATGTAACTTCTCCCTTAAAGAGGATGGACACAGTTAAATGAGACAAAGGTCAACACCGTGCAGAAAGCTGGCTGAACTGAGACATGAGGTGTTACAGAGCAAATGTACTTAAAATCCTCTTACAGCCTCCCCCACTCATTCCTTTAACAGTCATTCATTGAACACCTATACTGTGTCGTGCTGTAATGATGCAGTACTTTTCTTAGGGATATACTTTCCATTTATATTATCTAATTTTTTATGCCATTTTTATTAAAAAAGAGATATCAGCCTTCACTCTTCCATTCATTCAATATTTCCTCAATGAATGTCCCTATTATACCACACTTTAATATACAATTTTTGCTTTGAGATGGGATCTCATTATGTACTTCAGACTAGCCTTGAACTTACTATGTAGCCCAGGCTGGCCTCAAACTCAGGATGACCCTCCTGCCACAGCCTCCCAAGTGCTGGGATCATAGGTATGTGCCACCATACCAAACTTTCTTAGGAATATACACTTCATATATATCATACCATGCATTGTATTTTACTTTATTTTTGGTGGGAGAGAGTGTATCAGAAAATATTTCACATTGGTTTGGGTGTCTTAGTAAAAAGACCTTTCCACAGGTTGAATCTATTCTATTCAACATCCAGGTAGCAATCACAGAAATTTAGGGTTGCAAAGTCCTTGAAGGTGCCCTCATCATCCTCTTCCAGGTAAAGGCAAGGGAATTAAGTTCCTCCAGCAATGGGACTCAGCTGCTGGGAGGTGGAGCTGAAGTAACATTAGCACAACTAACATGGTAACCATTTCACCCCCTCACACTGTCTGAAGTCCCACAGCCTTGCATTTGTCTTTCTGCAACAGAAAGCACAGTCTGTTCTCTGGGACTTGACCCTGGTGCTGAGGACACCTCTGCCACTTTTCTGACCTCAGCCACTCAGAACTCTGAAGAAGGAGTATTATGGATTAAAAATTGGTGGTCAACTTAACACCAGTTAGATTATATCAGCATGGTGCAGAGCGTGGATGTGCCACCTAAGGAAAGTTGCCAACATAAATAGAGACGTAGAGAAGGAGAAGCTATGGCGTTTAGATGTTGGGCACCGTGGGTTCTCCTACATGTTGCTGTTTGAACCATTGGTTCTCCTGGAGAAGCTCTGGTCCTCACATCAAGCATTGCTTCCTGGCTCCAGAGAAGATATGTGCTGCTTGGTCTCCAGGATGAACTCGTCACGCTGGCTTCTTGGCATGTACCCGACTGTGCCTGTTGGAGGAGGAGCTCAGGGCCTCCATGTCGCTGAGGACAGCTGTGGTGCCCTTCAGGACAGTCCTAGTCTTTGCTGTGAGTGTGACTTCTTGGCTCCAGCGTAGAACCCTCATCCTACCAGCACAGCTCCTTCACCCGCTGGCATAGACTTTCTAGCTTCCACTGCAGACCTTTGGGCTTTCCCAGCACGGATCTGTAAAAGAGACTGGCGTGAGTCCTTTTTGTGGGCGCTAGACCTCCAGTTGGACTCATGGGAGACACTGTCATGAGCTCTGGGTTTCCATCTGGACTCATGTGGGATATTGCTATGGGATTCAGGCCCTTGGCTGAATATTCTATGTATTTAGTGTTGTGGATAGATTTTCTGCATTTTCTTGTGTTAACTCTGGGTGACCCTCATAAAACAATATCATAAACTCCATGGCCTGACTCTAATTTTTCTCTTCACAACCCCTGACTACAAGGAGGTATGGCCCTTCCACGTGCCACAGGCCTGTCCCAATCATATGCAGGAAGATTGAGTCCCTGCAGGGTGGGACAGGAAGACCTCAGGCTAAGGTAGCACAGGACCCTCCAAGAACAGATGGGCCATAGTGACTTATTATCATTGCTTTCATGGGAGAAGACATCTCCCTGCCTAAGCCTTTTATTCGAACCCTAATTGTGGCAAAAGATGATCCTCAAAGGCCTGAGTTAGAGAAATGCCAATCCAACCTACACCCACATTCCACTTTCCCCAAGATACTTCCCTCTCCCCAGCTGCAAAGCCTCGGAGGATTTCAGTGGTCAACAAAGTAACATACTGCACTGCAAGCTCCAGATCTAAATGATGTGAACATGGTGAATTAGAAGCTCCCGCACTCCAACTCATTACTTCATTAGCCTAATATGAAACTTCTTTCAGCTCCTCACAGCCCCCGAAGATTAAAATCCACCCCTTCCTGCTCCTCTTGACAATTCACATCATGCTCTCTGGGCTCTGCCAAAGGAAATCCTTCAATTCACCTTTCCATGGTCTATTCTTTCCAATGCTAAGCTTTGTATGCTAATTTTAATAGCTTTCTTTGCCCAGGTCCCACTGTATTAGTTCTCTGTGGCTGTTGTAATGAATCACAAAACAGTTGCAATATACAAGAATAAAAATTTACTCTTTCATACTTCTGGGGTCTTGAAGTCTAAAATCAAAGTGTCAATGGTGACAAACTCCAAAGGCCCTAGGGAGGATTCTTCCTCTTCTCTTACAGCTCTAGGTGGCTTCTGGCTTTCCTTGGCTGGTGACTGCACACTCTCATCTCTGCCTCAGTCTTCAGCTAGCATTTTGCTCTTCTCTTTGCATCTCCTCTTCTGTCTTGTCCTTGGAGACCCTTGTCCTTGGATCAGGGAACCCTCTTAGATACTATGGAATGACTTCATTTTGAGATCCTTAACTTGACTACATTTGCTGAGTACTTTTTCCAAAAAAGATCACAATCACAGGTCCTGGGGTTTAGGATGTTGGTATATCTTGAGAAGAGGTACCAGTCAACCCATTATTATCTCTTTTGGTGATGATGTTCACTCTAAATTATAGGGAAATAATTACATTTAGAGTTATTGAACATGTGTTAGTTGGCTTTCTCTCTGTGACTAAATACCCAAAGATAATCAATGTATCAATGTGTAAAGAAAAAAGTTAATTTGGGCTCACAGTTTTGAAGGTTTCAGTCCATGGTTGGTTGCCTGCTTGCTGTCGGGCTGTGATGAGGCACACATCATGGTCAGAACATGTGGTAGAAAAAGTGCTCACCTTGGGGCTGGGGATTTAGCTCAGTGGCATAAGCACCTGCCTTGCAAGCAGGCAGTTATGAGTTCTATCCCTGGTACCGATAAAAAAAATGAAAAAGACAAAAAAAAAGTGCTCATCTCACTTTATGACAACAAGAAACCTCTTTTTTATATCCCCTTCAAGGGCTCAATCCAGTGACCTCACTTCCTCCTACTAGGCTCTACCTCTTAAAGGCTCTACCACCTTCCAACAGCACCATAGGCTGGCAAGCAACCCTTCAACCCATGGGCCTTTGGGAGGAAGGTGTTTATTTCAAATATAACAAATGATTCAACAATTATAGTTGAGTGTGGCTTGGGCCTGGGTGCTGGATGGAGCTTGGCACTGGGGCTGCAGGATGAAAAGGTATGCCTCCTGCCCTCCTGAACTGCTTAACCTGGTGAGTCAGAGAAAGAGCAAGTAGTTCATCACAATACAACATAAGAAATGCTATAAAAAATGGAAAATTTTCATCACTCAAGAATTCTATGGCCGGTGTCCCTGATAATTCCCATATCCCAAGCAGTGTCACCTTCTTTTTGGTCACATGTCACTGAATCTACTTAACCAGGAAAATGAATACTGATGGGGAAGAGGGACAGCAAGGGGAATGAAAGAGATTTCTTCCCTGGAGAACTTTCTCTAGGCCACGATTACGTCTGTTTGAATATTAAAAATAAAACGAGACATTTGATAAGAATTCGGCACTGGGACTGTAATGCTTCTGGAGTCAGAGCAGGGAGCATCTCAGCGTCAGCAACAGCTCACACGTGGGCAGGAGTGATGACTCTCTGAAAAGCCACCTACGAATCTGCGCACAAACCAGCAGCTTGGAGAGATGCCAAGAAGCAAGCTCGCTCTTCCCTGTTGAGTTGTTTAAGCATTTTCATACTTCAGGTGTGCGGGGCCACATGTGGGCTCTGGGTAACACCTTGCATATTCAGTGTCCTAGGAAGGAGATGACCCAGCTTACACACAGGGAAATAGGGCAAGTGCTTCCCTTCAAGATCAGTTATCCTAATTTCCTAAGAAGGCAAACAGGCAAGGTTGTGTATACAGTATTCAGGATGAAATCCCAAGCAGAAAGATGTTAAGTGACTCTAGGTGGCTTCTCATTCACACCAGAAATTCCTTTCTGTGGTTAAAGCTACCACACTTTAAGGGGCAACAAAGTTGTGGATAATGTTCACCTTTGAGCACTGCTATGCACAAGCATAGGAGGAATGCAGATAAGCAGACAGTGTACAGATAGCCTGGAACACTGTGATTCAAAAATAAAGCTTCAATTTGTTTTCTAGAGTGACTCCTACACACACTGTTTAAATTAAAAAAAAAAACATGGTATAGCAAAATGACTTTTTAAAGTGATTTGCTCATGGTTGAAATTCAGTGAATAAAACAGCTAGATCATTCTAAACTGGCTCTTGTCTCTGCTGTCCTGTTATTAGCTTTGAATAAAATTTAAATCCTGGAAGAGTTTTTTTAAGGAAATAGACAAGGTCCTTCTAAGAAAGTCTGAAACACAGCTGCAACATTTCCTAGAAAGCCATGTTTTGGTGACTGCCCAGTGAATAATTGTTTTTGTCCTGAGATAAGTGGTTATTGCAAAACACCATGCAGATTCTAATATTTGCTCTGTAAAATGACTCAAGTTGAATCTTGAGTGAAAATTTCAACAAAGAAGAACAGTGATCCTTATCAGTACTATGAGGTATAATCTGTCTGCATACCTGATTTTATGACTGAAAAAAATATTGTGAAGGAATGGGAGTTGATCCAGCCAGCTCTCAGTTCCCTTAGCCTCTTCCTCAGCTAGACTTTAATCCAGCTATTAAGACCTAGCAAACCCAGGCAGTCACTGGGTTACATTACTCAAGTTAATCCACCACCAAAATTGATTCCAATCCATTTTCCTTTCCTAATTCAGTCTACCAGAAAAAGCAAGAAATTCCATTCTTTGAAGAACAAAGATAAATGCAGGTGCTTAATTCTATCAAAACATCTCCTTTAGGAAGATGGTGGTGTGTGCATTCTTTATCATCTCGAATCCCTTCTTTTCTTCCAGAATTGACTTACCCATAACACTTTTAGTAGTATATGTTTGCAACATATAATAATTACATCCATCTTGGGAAACTGGCACCTATACAAGTCATATCTTGATGCTTCTTAGTAGAATTCTTAGTAGGTTTCTCTTACCTTGATCATACATAGAGAGAAACACTTTGCATCGTGGTGTCAAGATCCATCCATTTTCCAACAAGTGACTCAGTAGTCCTGTCTTCTGGCTTAGCGCTGTGACATTGTTACACCACTTTATCACCAATACTGGTAGAGAGTCCAATGTGTACCAAGTGCTATGCTAAGAATCAGAGGCAAGGAATACAGAAAAGTAAGCCAATTACAGTAGTACCTCGGTTCGTGGATGGTTTTGTTTGCAAACAGAAGTGTTTGGCAAAATTTTACTTTTGTTTGTAAACTCTGCACTGAGTGGCAGACACAGGGGAGGGCATCTTTCCTACACAAACTCAAATGTTGCTATCTTTTCCAAAATTGTGGAATAAATTAAATTCCTGAACCAAGGTACAACTGTACAGTATAGTACAGTCGATTCTCCATATCTGTGGGTTGTAAATGAGCAGCTTCAACCAATCTTGTATCAAAAATATTCAGGTGGGGGAGGAAGTATATCTCTACTGAATATGTACAGACATTTTGCTTGCCATTATTCCCCCCAAAATACAATATAACAATTATTTACATAGCCCTTACCTTGTATTAAGCACTATAAGTAATTCAGAACTGGTTTAATGTATATGAGAGGATTGCATCAGTTAGATTCAATTACTATACCATTTTGTATAAGGGATTTTGATATCCACAAGGAAAAACGTTCCTCCTGGATTCAATCCCAGTGGCTATCCAAAGGGTGACTGCACAATGTGCTGAGCACTGTTATAGAAGTACAATATGTAACAACCATTATCAGAAAGCAATTAGCATGAGATTTTTTTAAAAGTATAAGAAATATATATTAAGAGAGCACTCTAACCTACTGACTGAAGAAGCGAAATTTCTTGGTCCAGACATTCTGAACATCTATGACAAACCCCTTCTCTTTTATTTCTGATTAGAGCAAGCTAGATTTCCAACACCCAGTGCTTAAATGAAAAACTGTTTAAATTACCATCTTTCTTCACAAGAAAAGCCAATATAATACAAACCTCCTGCTTAAAATTCCTGGGGAGAGAAAGGCTAGTCTCACCACTCTCCATCTAAAGCGGCTACATTCTGGGTCCAGGCTCCTCTCAGATGACTGCTCTGCAGAACACAAGCCCGACCCCCCATGCCCACCTTCCCAAGCAAGTGTGCCTCTCCAAGAGCAGTCCTTGCCCAGGATCTGCCCCCATGCTTTTCCCACCTGCAATGGCCTGCTCACAGTCTGAAGTGACAGCCTGCTTTCTCCTGGCCACTTCTAGTGAAGAGACATTTCTTTTCTTTATAGGATCAAAGCAAACTTTCCTCCCTGGAACCTCCCACTCATTGACACTGTAGTTCTTCTCCACAGCACACTGAAAGAAATCACTAGAGAAAAACTTAACTCAAAGTGTCTTATTCAGTCAACAGCTATCTATTGCAACTAGAAAGAAATTTCAAGAACTAATTCAATAAAAGGTCAGACAGGCTATAAAGAAAAGAGAGAGAATAAAATGAACTGGCTTCCTAAGCAAAGCATCTCAATCTTTTTTCAGGGTATGGCAGATACAGGAAAGAAAATACTGGTAGGACCGGATGATGGAGGATGTTCACAGCCAGAGGGGACCAGCCCAGGGTCTGGGAGCAGCCAACAGGGCATTGCTGTCCCGAGACACTCATTATGTCATCCCCTCCCCACTTCCTGTTCCAGGACAGGTCTCCCCAACTGCAGGGGTGTGAGTGTAGCTGTTACACCGTGTGCAGCATTGCTCTGAGAAAGACTGGGCACAGAAGGAGCAAAGAGAGGAAGGATTGTGGCCCCTCAGGCCACCGAGGCAGCAACAGCCAGAAGAAACTTCACTTAAATGAGTTTCAACAAGTACAGATAATGAATGAGCAGAGAGAGAGACAGAGAATATCAAAAATCATGATGAATGTCCAAAAAAAATCCTATACAGTAAAAAACACATTGCTAAGAACCACCAGATAAGTGTATTTAAAGCAAATAGGAATATGAGGTTAAGTATTTTGAGGAGAATTAATGGCAGTATATCTTTTACTATGATAAATATTTGATTTAAACATTCACTGTATTGTTTGATTGTTTTGATTGTCCTAATATACATCTTTATTAATCTCTATTCATCTCTAGATGTTTAGTTATTTATATTATCTATACCTATATATCTATTTCTGCATATTTGTAGATAACTAGATGTTTGTGTCTCTATATCTACCTATAGATGTCCACATATCTATATTTGTATCTATATTGATATCTGTATCATCCAACACACACAACATTCCTTAACCAGTTATAAAGCATTCATGGATCTAAAATTGTAAAGAATCTTAAACCTGTCATCCTTGTTTGAAAGAAACTATTAATTTTATTCCAGAAAATGAGGAATTAATGTGTTTATTGAATTCACAACAAAGAGAAGTTGGAAATATTCTTGAAAATCCTTTCTTCTCCAGGAAATATTTCTAATCTAACCGAGAGCATAAATACATACCATGACCTACTGCCTCAGATCTCACCTTTAGAGTTCACTTTGTCATAATTACTAGTGGTTTTCAACTTTCACAAAATAGAATTTTCTGTATACATCATTCATTCACACATTTTACACTAATAGCTCAAACACTTTTGTATGCCAAGTTCAGATCTTTATAAATCAGCTGGAAAATGAACATTCTGAGCTAGTGTAGGGTACTGCAATAGTGGAGTTTGGTGGCATTGTCATTTTTATCTGCACAGTGATGTCTCTGTAATTACTTGAAATTTTTTATTGCATTTTGCCCCTATGGTTTTATAAAAACAAGCAAGAAAATGAAAAAATGAAAGCACAGAAATGAAATTCTCACGAACTTAATATGATCAAGACAAAGCTGGAAATCGAGCAGCTTGATGTCATTAAATACTTACTGGGCTTAAACTTGTAAAGGGAAAAAACTAAGAAACTTCTATGAAATATCATCAATACATCTCCAAAGACTAAATCTAGAGCAGAGGTCTGATTAGCGATTTGATCATTTTTTTACAGTGTTTTGGAAATGGACTCTTTTTCTCTTCTATTGTTCTGCTTTGACACATTTCTGTGTGATGGAAGTTTACATTTCTGTGTGATGGAAGTTTTTAGGAAACCGTTGTTCACAAAAGTCATCAGCTGCCTGTAGACCAAGGTAAGAGTTGGTTGGGTCCTGAGCCTGACTTCCACCCCTATCTGTTTTCAAAGTGGGTTCCATGTAAGATAGTACTATGGTTTAGCTAAGTGTTCCACAAACGTCTCATGTGTTCAGAGGTGAGGCTTTTGGAAAGTGCTTGGATCATGGAGGCACTGTATTGAGGTGCTAACTGTGCTACCAGAATGTGGGGCTTGGTTGGAGGTTGTCATTGGGGCATGACCTGGAAAGGCATTTTCATGTCCCTGGATCTCCCTTTTTCTCTCTGCCTTTCAGCTACCATGTCAGGAGCAGTTTTCCTCTGCCATGAGGCTTTGCCATAGAGCTGGTCAACAATGGACTAAACCCACTGAAACTGTGAGCCAAACTAAACTTCTCCTTTTTAAAGTTATGAGTATCAAGTATTTTGTCACAACAACATTATCTTTTTACTTTAAACGTTCTTGACTTCAATTAATCTTCCTGAATCTCCTTGGATTGTGAGTTTTTCTTCCTCATGCTTGCCAGATGAATCCCTATGTGCATGTAGATGGAAAAACTGAATAATTCAGAAGGAACTGAATTCAGAAAGGAACCGAGTACTAATCATCTCCTGGCCAACCCTGACTACAACAGCTTTTGTGAACAATATCACATTTAGTCTTCTCAGGTCTATGAAGTAGACTATTATAAATGTCATTTTGCTGATAAGCAACCCAGGGTCAGAAAGGTTAAATTATTTGAAATAATAGAAGTCTTAAGAGGGCAAGCCAAGATTAGAATCCAGGAAGTCTGATTCAAGATGACAAAGAAACAACTTGATAGATGCATGAAAAGAGATGAGATTCCAACACAAAATGTAAAGAAGCAAAGAACTGAGTAGGAACCCACTTGGAGCAGACCCAGTGGGCGAGGAACTGTGCTCTTGGCATATTCCTCATGGTCCCCTGTACTGACCCATGTGCAGGAAACACTGGCTCTCACCACAGCCCACTGTTTAATCTATTTAATGCTCTTACATCATGGGTCTTGGCTTGCAAAGAAGAAACTTGCCTAGTTCAATCTCATCTCATTCTGTCAACCCACAGCTTCTTTTGTGCAAAAGCCGCAGAACTGGGAAGAGGAGCAGAAAGCATGAGATACGTTTAAATTTGCCAGAGCAATATGCTGACCAGTGAGGTTTGTTTATTAAAATCTTTATATGGGGTGAAACTCAACTGAGCTGATGTCAGCTGGTTTATGGAGAGGCCCTGTTTTCAAGATTAGGCTGCTGTTTGTCTTCTTTACTGAGCTGACAGAGGACATTCTGGAGAATATATTATGCCAAAAACATCTGTATTATAGAAAATCAACAATGAAGAGCACCAGCTCCAAATGGAGCATGTAGCTCTTGTCTGCCAATAGATTAAACTGCTATTTTTATCTAAGGAGGAAGCTAGAGGAAGCATCAGTGAGTTTAAAGACAGCAGAAATTGGCCTCTTCTCCTCTGTCAAGTTATTTTTGCACACTTGGGAGGACACAGGGTGCGTTTTGCTTTATTTTAAATCAATGTTTTAAAAAATATTTAGAGAACTATCTTATCTCAAATCAGAGTTGTCATGGGGGAGTGTTTTCCTTATTTCCCCCCACGAGAACACATGCCTCTGAATAAGACAGGATGAGTGCAAAAGTGTTTGCCTCCCTTACATAGCTTCCTGTTTAAAAACTCCGGTGTCCCAGATGGGACAGATCTTTGGGGAAGGAAGAAAATGTGTCACCAACACTGGATCATATCAGAATAACAAGAATAATAACACTGATAAGTTTCCAACACATATCTAGCACTTTCTATCACTAGATATCACTAGATGTTTTACATTCATTATTTCATTTAATCCTCACATCTCTGAGTTAAGTACTGGTATGATCTGCTTTTCAAAAGGAATTTCTATTGAACTGTAACATAGAGGCAGAAAATTACACAAATGCTAAGTTTGGAATTTAATAAACTTCATAAAATGAACCCATTTGGTAACTACCAAGATAAGAAACAGAACATTCAACCAAATGTATCTTCAGCTGTTTACTCCTTTATGGCTAACCACTATCTCAACCTCTGCAGCAATACAAATTAGCTTCAGTTGGCTTTCAACTTTATCTACATGTAAAAATATGTACCCTTTTGCATCTGGCTCCTTTCACTCAATATTAAGTGTGTGTTCCATTATGTTAGTGTGCTACAATTTAATTCTCCACTTTACTATAAATAGGTTTTATGCCCATTTCAAATTCAAACAAAAGTTTAAGGTTAAGAACACTGAGACTCAAGAGGTTTAAAATAAGTTGCCTAAGTCCACAAAGCTAATAAACAGTAGATCTGGGATTACAACTCAGATTGGCCTAGCTCCAAAGCCCAGTCTGTTAGACATCAGGCTGTCTTGCCTTTCAGAAAGGGTAGCTTTACAGGAACCCCTCCTTGAGGTCAAAAGATCTTTTGTATAAATAATTTGAGAGACCCATGGGAAGAGGATATTTGAGCAATGTGACATGAACCCAAATGAATCCACCTCTATGGAGCTTATTGCCTTTAGACATGTCTCTGCCTTTGATTTTGTCTGTCATTTTCTTCTTTCTCTATTACTTTGATTGACTGTTCCAATACCCCTATCAAGATCTTCAGCACTGTGGGACTTAACTGAGTAGCAGAGACTGGAAACACATATTGCACCTGAGACCTGGAGGAGACATTGTATGCAAGACTCACGCACAGAGCTGCAGCCACAAGACAGGTGAAGGTTTCAAAGGATTCATGAGTGAAGGAGAGTGTGAGCCATGTCCTGATTATTAATGTACATGCTCACATTGCGTGTGCATACTAAGTCATGAGTCCACCCACCACTCTCCCCCTCTCTCTTATTTCACCAACATATAATTTATTATGCTGTTGTTAGCAGCATAGTATTGGCCACATCCAGTAAACTGATCCACTGGGAGGATAACTGTGCCCTAATTAAGATTCATGCTTTCTGAATGTTTTTTTTAGAAGGAAAAGAAAAAAGAATGCTTTCAGAAAACAACTTATACATACAAGAAGTATACTTTGATCTCTTCCTAATAGTTTGTCTTTTTTAGATGAATGGAAATTCCACTGGTTGGTACCATTCAGTACAAGAAATTTTGTGGAAGGCAACTTTTCTATCCCATGCTTTGGCTCCCTCCCAACCCTCATGATTAGACACAACTGGGAAGACCAGCCTCAGAAGAACTTCGAGGACCTCCAGGAAGTCTCCTACTCAGCTCGCTCACTACCTCTCAGCATTTTCCTGCAGGAGCACAGCATCAGCTGCAGCTTATCTGGCCAGTTTACAGTTGATCATGAAGCAAATGCACAATTACTGTGAGTCACTGAACACCACTTGTTAGGATGACAGAAATCACTGGATCAACTAAGGTCCATGTGTCATTTATGTAAACACCATTGGGGTTTCCAGGCATCAAGCCAGAAGAAACCCACTCTTGCTTTGCAGAGTTGCCAGAATCTTGTTTTTCTCCCTGGACCCCTGAAGGAAAGGAGTAGCTACCAGCACCAGCCAATTTATTTGCTAGGGCTACTGTAACAAAATGCTACACACTGGTGGCTTAAACTACAGCATTCATTGTCTCTCTGTTCTGGAAGCTGAAAGTCCAAGATATAACTGTCTGCAGGGCTGGCTCCTTCTGAGTGTTGTGAGGGAAGGATCTGTCCTTGGTCTCTGTCCTCAGCTTGTAGATGCCATCTTCATGCTCACTTGATGCTCTCCCTCTGTGTTCATGTCTGTGTCTAAATTTCCTTGTATATCAGGACATCAGTTGGATTAGGGTCTGCACTCATGATCTACCTCTCTCTAACTCGAGGGCTTCTATAAAGACCCCAATCTCCTAATAAGGCTATGTTCTGAGCTACTGAGGGTTTATACTTCAGTACTTTGAGGAGCACAGTTCAATCAATAATGTGAGTGTCCATGAACTTCCTTCTTTTCTCTAATGCCATCAATGCAGCCCTTCCCCAGAATCTATTGGTCCCACATTCTGTATATGTTGCCTTGCTGATTAAAAACTGGGAGTACACTTGACACAGCTTCTGTTCCTGATGCTTTCTGCTCCTCTAGTATCTTCTCTTGGTACCCAAGTTAGTACTAGGGTGCTATTCATTCACCACTGAGAATGGCATGTTGCTCTCAAGGTCTCCTAGGGGTCAAAGGAGCCAGAGATACCCACCTACCTTCTAGTTGGGTCTTCACCAGCCACTTTCACACACCCAGTAGTCTCTCTTCCAGATCTCTCTCACCACATCACACAGGCTCATCCTTCCCTCCCTTCCCATTGAGACCTAGCTGCTTTTGCTTCTTTCTGCAGCCCACAAGCAATCCTCTAAGATTTCACTCAATTCCTGTCTTCTGTGATGATGCTTCTCACATCACTAGAACAGGACGGCATCTTGCTGTTTTACATGCTTTGATGAAGGAAGCAGGAGATGTTTTCTTCTTCCATTTTCAGGTTCTCAGTGCCTTCCCTAAACTATCCCTGAAATCCAGAGTCAATGTTTCCATTTCCTGGGGCCACAGATTTCTCTTCCAGGAATCCTACCTTGCAAGCTGCTGCTGGGCAAACAGAAGCAGAACACCTTCGCAGCAAAGATCTCAGACTGTCCTTTCTTCCTGGTGGTGGTAATAATTCATATTTTACCTGTGGTTAAATGAGGGAAGCGAGTTAGTGCTTGACTCTTGCTTCCTGCATGAAAATGTCATTTTTTAAACTCTTGTTTTATCTGTAGTGTTACTCTTCATGAAGCCTTTTCTTATAAATGATCTGTTTATTTCTAGAAGCTGCTGCATGCCTCACAAAATTTTATAAAAATTCCTCCTGTTCAGTGGGAACCAGCAGCATGCGCAGGCCACCACTGGACTGGGAAAAGACAGACCCCAGCCCCTTCCAGATGTGAGCTGCCAATGCAAGAAATACCATTCCTCCATCCCCAGCCCTTAAGCAACCAGCTTATCCAGAGAAACACAGGCTGTGATGATAGCTATCAAGGTGAAATGCAATTGGATGCCTGTGGTGCTTTGGTGTTTCACTAATATTTCAATTCCAGGGCCAGTGTTCTGATCATAGGTTCAGAGGATAGTGGTATACAGTGTGGCATCTGGCAGGGGGGTTCTCCTTCTGAGGGTTGTAACCATTGTTGATTCCATATAGTCTTATTTTGAGGTGCTATGTTGTTTCCATTGTTTTGTTGGGTTGTGTTTCATTCTCTTTTGGTTTCATTCTCTAGTCTCTATTTGTTTTGTTTGATTATGTTAAATCTGATGGCATGAACAGCTATTTAAAAGATAGCAAGACATTATGGTAGCCATTTTGGATTACCATTGGCTTGTTTTGAAGTCCTTTATTGCATTCATTGTTTTGTCTTTATTGTTTCTATTTTATTCTGTTCTGTTTGATTTTTACTATGTCTGAAGTCATCTGCAGCTATTTTGAAGACATCTAAAGGCATTATGGTAACTATTTTTGATTTTGTAACATTTTGAAGTCCTGATCTCTTACACTGGTTTATTTTGATTGGCTTTATCATTTTTAAAATATAAGAAAAAAACCACGCCTTCATGTGAGCCATCCAGCGTGAGGGCTGACAAACCAGAAGAACATATCCTCACCCCACCCTGAAAGCAACTGGCTGATTCAGAGGACTCAGGGGTGAGATAATAACAACTGAGGTAAAAGGAATAGCTTGATACTTATATTGTTTGACTGACTGTGCAGGCCTGGCACTGGTAGTCTGGGCATCTATATGGGGGATGGCAGCGTGCACTGTGGCAACTGTGGGGGATTTCCTTCTGTCTTGTTTTTGAAATCCAATGTTTTGTTATGTTTTACCATTTTGTTTTATTCCTATGCTTGATAACCCAAGAAACTATTTTGGAGAGTGGTTTGCAGTATAAAAACCATTGTTAAATTTCTATCACCTTGTTTTGAAAACCTATATAGCTATTGTTGCTTTAAAAAAATTTAAAATCTGAAGATTTCTTCTGAGAGCTTTGAAGCTGTGAGGAGACGAGTAGATAGATGTATTTTTATTAAAGGATTTCAAACCATTTGTAATACCTTGCTTAGTCTTCCCAGGGAACAAATAACTTTTTAGTAATAACTAAACTAGTAATAACTTCCTTAGGGAAGCACACATATTCCTCCAAAATGGAAACCTACTTTTTACAGCAGTATTTGCTAACACATCTAATTACTACCTCCAGTTAACTGATGAAAAATTATGGAAAAACAGGGAGCAGATGTGCAAAAGCCCAGCCTCATGTTTGAGACATAATTCTCAATACATGTTAGCTTACACAAATCTTCATCTGTACTGAAAAGCCAAAGACAAAGGTGGAAATGAAATACCTAATTTCTAATTCAATTACATTCAATTTGTTAAGTAGCTTGCTTTTTCATATCAAAATATAAATGTGCTTTACTCCAGTTAGTAGAGTTGATATAAAAAAGAGAAGTGCATTCAAAATATTTTGATATATACCTTTGTAATTGCTTCATGCAATAAATATTTATTTAGTACTTATGTGCAGGCAATGGAAATAAAGATATGAATAAACTTGGAATGCTAAGGAAGTTGCATGCTAACAACCAATAACCTGGGTCTCTCAAGAGCTACAGAAAAGTTATAAAGTCAATTGCAGTGTGAGGTATACATACATGAGGCCAAGTCACCTACCCCAGGTTTGGAGTGTATAAGAGATTTAAAAGAATGTGTTATTGAAGTTGAAGTCTGATATTTGTCAGAGATAACACAGTTATCCAGATGAGAGACGAATGTGGCCTAAGGCAGAGCATATACAGAGAGAATAGAGGAGAGCAGTCAAATTAAAGAGATTTTAGGAGAAAGGATATGTTGGGCTTGGTAATGGCTGTTTCCTTTGTCTTATGTTACTAGGTAGGAAGAGCAGAAACAAAGGTGGTTTGTTTTACAAAGCAGGCGACAACCCTATGAAATGTCTGCTTTGTAAACCTCTGTTTTCATACTTAGCATGCTGGTTGATAGCCAAGAAAATATCTGTTACACAGTAGCTTTGATTCAACTGAATCTTTTTACACTAATAAATGTCTTTCACTGTCTCCTTCAGATGGCTTAGCCGTTGTTGAGAGCGATATTCTTCCACCTTAAGTCCTTATAAGCAAAAATCAGAGGCTCTATCAGCCATTGCACAATAATATGATGAAGAGGCATGCTGGCAGAGAGCAAACACTGATTTGTTCACTTGTGGATAAGCCATCATTTACGGAGCAACTTCTGTGTTGGGTATTGGATATTTTCCAAAATGAATAATGCCCCTGCTCTTTAGCTTGCAATGCAGTAGAAAAGATAGAATATGATCACCAAAGCAAGAACAAATTCTAGAAGTGCGAAATGGAAAGCGTGGTGCATGGAGCCCAGAGCTAGGAAATACCACAGAGTGAATCCACGGAAGAGGAAGCAGTAAGGCTGGACCCAGATGAGTCAGTAGTAGTCACTCAGCTTGATCTGTCCAGGAAAACGGCGGACAAACATCATGAATAAAATAGAAGTGGAAAAGGAAGGAAAGACTGGAGGACAGTGAATGGACAATGTGATTGTTGTCATTTGGAGCGGTTGGATTATATCCCCGAAGTTTGGCAATGTTCAAAAAAGCTGAATCTTCAACAGGGAAGCTCTACTGCGAGGAAATTAGCTTACGAGAGCACTGTTTAGAAAAGGGTTAATGCGTTCTCTCTAGGTGTGATAGTTCTCTTGAGAGCAAGATGTTATAAAGCAAGGCATCTCCTCACATTCAGTCCCGTCTGCACAGATCCAGTGCCTTTTCTAGTTATCTGCCACGATGTGATACAGACAGGGAGCCCTCAACAGACAGAGCTCTTACTCACCAGAATTTTGAGCCAAATAAACCTTTTTTCTTTTAAAGTGCTCAGACTTGGTTACTTTGTTCTAGCAACAAAAAACAAAAAGTAAACTAAAACAGTGACTGAGCCAGAGTGTTAAGGAAGAGAAGGATGAGATATGATGAGAAGGAAAAACAATATGAAGAAAGGTGGTCTGAAGAGAGGTTTGTTTTGGTGGGCTCCAAAGCAAGAAGTCAAGCTAGAAAGGCCTGAGCAGGGGAAAGCTGCTTACTTCATGGCAGTAGGGAAGACAAGAGCAAAGGGAAACACCAGGAAATGAGATAAACTCCTCCAGGCCACGCCCCAATGACCCACCTCTTCTAATCAGGCCCCATCTCCTAACAGCATATTTAGCTGGAAACTCCTGGATGGACTAATCCACCCATGAGTATAATACACACCTTCCCCATCTAATCACCTCTCAAAGGCCCTGCCTATGACAGCCTGAGGCTTTGGGTGTACATCCAGATACAAACCGTAACATTTTACCCTTGGTCCCCAAAACACTCATGCACATCTCTTTATGCAAAATGCATTTAGTCCACCTCTAAACTTATTCTTAACAGTCAAAGAACTGCTAAAAAGTGCAAGTCCAATCTCCCCAGGGACTTAAGGGTTACTGTCACCTAGCTTCAAAGATGACATATTAGTACCTCAACTAGCCATATTTACATTGCTTAGAGCCAATTGAAGGGAAAAGGAAATGGCCTAGCCAGCTCTGTACACATCAGTGCATGGAGACAGCCAGGTTTAACCAAAGTGGAGATAATTGCTCTTTGTTCAAGGAGAGTGGTCCCCGTGGTCCTTCACAAGTTACTTCATGGCCACCAGAAAGCAGAAAAAAGGGAGGGAGATATATCCTTTCATGTCATACCCCTAGGGACCTGTTTCTTCTGACCAGGCTCCATTTCATATAGTTATATAGTTATAACAGCACATATAGTTATAAACTCATCAGTAGATTAATCCACCAATAATTGTAGTGTCCTCACAACCCAATCACCTTTTCAAGTTCCTGCCAATAAGTACATAAGCCTCTGCTGTGACATTCAGATATAAACCATAACAGAGGTGAAACAAACAAAGGAATTTGAGAGGTAGAACAATCACAGCCAACTAGGGGGTGATGATAAGGGAAAAAGTCTCTGAACCATGCACTGGAGAAAAGCAGATACTCTGAGGGGGACTAAAGAGAAAGCCTGATACTGGAGAGTAAGTGGAAAGAGAATTCGTTGGGTCAAAAACTACTGTCAATGGGGTTTGCAAGGGGAAGTTGGGCAACTCCTGGGTCATGGCATCCTCTCCCCACGCACCATCTTGAAGAGGATTGGGCTGAGAGAGAGAGAGAGAGAGAGAGAGAGAGAGGTCATGCCAGCACCAGCCTAGCTGATGGAACAGGCTGACCATCACCTTAACCTTCCAACCAGGAAGAGGATCACTGTGAGTGAGATACACACAGTGAGTGCTTCAGAGAAACTGAAAGCTGGGGAGTAGCGTACCAGACAATGCCTGTGTGCACTAATGGACATTAGTGCAATCTTATTAATGACTTGAATCTAAGTGAAGGTAGGACTGAGGCTCAAAATCTCCAAGAGCAAAACAGTGCCTGGAAGAGCCGAGGCTTTGGGGAGAGAGGACTCGTTTGACCCAGAAATAATTAGTCCCCCACCCCTCATACACACAATGGGAGTGCTATACTTGTGGGACATTCAATGTACTACCCATGTTTGCCAGAGGTGTACACAGGGAAGCACCCAGAATCC